AAAAGCCCCCTGGACCCCCTCCAAAGCACCCTGGACCCTCCAAATAGTGCCCTGGGCTTCCCCCAGAAAGCTCCGCAGACCCCCCAAGAAGCCCCCAGACCCCCACAGAGCCCCCTGGGCCCCGCCAGACCGCAGTGTCCCCCTGTCCCCAGGGCCTCAGCTTCCACCTGGCCGCGGTGCTGCTCTCCCTGGGCCTCATCACCTATGCCGAGCACGGTCAGTGCCAGCCCTTTAAGGGGCGGGGCTGGGGTGGGGCAAATGGGAGGGGCTTAGTGGATGGGCTTTAAAGGTGGGTGTGGCCTAAAAATGTGGGTGGGGCTACAAGTGGGTGGAGCCTGCAGTGATGGGCAGAGCTATAAGGGTGCAGGTGAAGTCTGCAGCGATGGGCGGGGCTATGTGGCTGTGGGTGGAGCCTGCCATAATGGACAGGGCTATAAGGAGTGGGTGGAGCCTACTGTGATGGGCAGGACTGTGTGGGTGGAGCATGCAGTGATGGGCGGGGCTTGTAGGGTGTGGGTGGAGCCTGCATCGATGGGCGGGGCTATGAGGGGTATGGGCTGCAGTGATGGGTGGAGCTATAAGGGGTGGGTGGAGCCTATAATTATGGGTGGGTGGGGCTATAAGGGTATGGGTGGAGCCTGCAGTGATGGGCAGTGCTATGAGGATGTGGGTGGAGCTTGCAGTGATGGGCAGGACTATTAAGAGGGTGTGACCTGCAGCAATGGGTGGGGTTATAAGGGGTGGGTGGAGCCTGCAGTGATGGGCGGGGCTGTAGGGGTGGGGATTTGGGGGTTACTCGGGGCTCTCTGAGGGGTTTGGGGTCCCGCAGATGCTGTGGGTGTGGGGGGGTGAACAAGGGGGATTTGGGGCGTCCCTGAAATTTTTGGTGTCCTACAGACGCTGTGGGTGTGGGGGGTGAACAGGGATGTTGAGGGTCCCTGCAGAGGTTTTGAGGTCCCTGAGGTTTCTGGGCTCCTGCAGACGCTGTGGGTGCGGGCTCTGAACGGGGCCCTGGGCGCCCTGGCCCTGTTCCACCTGTCCTACCTGGGCGCCCTATTCGATGTGGAGGCTGAGGATGCCGTGGAGGAGCAGGTGGGACCCCCGAGCCCCCCGAGGTTTGGGGTCGCCATTGGGAGCGCCCTGACGCCATCTCGCCCCTCAGGGCTACGGCATGGCCTACACGGTGCGCAAGTGGTCCGAGCTGAACTGGGCCAGCCACTGGGTGACGCTGGGCTGCTGGGTGCTGGCCCGGCTGCTGCGCTGAGGCTCTGCGAGGCCACTGGGAGCCACCGGGGGCAAACTGGGAACACTGGGAGCACCTGGGCACGCCTGGGAGGACCGGGCGCCACAGAGAGCGCAGCCGCTCCGCCCCGCCGGAAGCGCCTTTCGATGGTCCCAACTTCTGCTCCGGGGGGTTTCCCGCCCTTTCTCGGGCGGAAGTGGCGCCGCGCGGCCGCTCTGGGACCAATAAAGCCTCGCCTCGATGGTTCTTGTCAATCATTCCTGGGTGGCCAATGGGAGCGCTAGAGGCGGTGCATGCGCGGACGGCTTGGGGGTGTGGCGCCCCCTGGCGATGGCGCGGAGTCAAAGCTTTGACCAAAAATCCTCTTAATTCACCTCAAAAACGCGCGGGGGGGACCCTATGGCCCCTATAGGGACTGGAGGGGACCCTATAGCCCCCGAGGGCGAGGGAGAGCGGCCATAGGTCTCCTATGGGGACCAGGAGTATCCCTGAGTCCCCTATAGGGATTGGGGGGGAGGGTCCCTATAGCCCCCAGGAGAGGGAGGGTCCATATGGCCCCCATAGGGACTGAGGGGGAGGGTCCATATGGATGCTATAGGGCCCGGGAGGGAGGGTCCATATGGATCCTATAAGGCCCAGGGGGTCGCTCGGAGCCATCAGGTGCCCTTGGCCTTGCTGGGAGACCTGCAAGAGAGAGAGACCCTGAGGGACCCTATGGATCCTGTAGGGCCCGGGGAGCTCCACGGGGGTCTATAGGGGCTGGGAGAGCTCTGTGGGATCCACTATGGCCGCGGGCAGTCCCCTATGGATCCTGTACAGCCCTGGGCAGTCCCCCATGGATCCTGTACAGCCCCGGGCAGTCCCCTATGGATCCTGTACAGCTCTGGGCTGTCCCCTATGGATCCCACACGGCCCTGGGGGGCTCTTGTGGCATCCGGGGAGAGTACCTATGGATGCTGTATGGCCTGTGAAATGTCCCCTATGAATTCTATATGGCCCCGGGCAGCCCCCCATGGCTCCCAGCCCGTGTTAGTGTGTTAGTGCCCCCCCCACACGCGCTTTAACCAAATCCGCCTTTATTAGCCCCAAAGCTCGTTAAAAACGCGCCCGGCCCCTCCCCCCTACAAAATCTGTACATCCGGCCCCTCCCCCACCGGGCGGGGGGCTGGGGGGGGAGGGGATCCCCACAGGGGGGGCGGGGTCCCAATGAGCCCCTCATTAACCTCTGACCTCATTAATCTCCACCTCAGGGTCCCCCAGCACCCAAATCGCCTTAATGAGCTGCCCATAATTAATGAGTCTCTGCAGGTCCCTAAGGAGCCTTAATGAGCCTTAACAAGCCCCCACCACCCAAACAAGGCCAAGATCAGGGTCCCGCCCCCTCTGCTGACCCTGGGGACCCCTGAGCTCCTCCACCACCCTAACAAGCCCTAATGAGCCTAATAAGCCTAATGAGCCCTAATGAGCCTAATGAGCCCCTGCCACCTGCTGGACCTTCACCTGCTGACCCCTCACCTGCCGACCTCTCAGCGGGTTCCCTCACTGCTGACCCCTCACCTGGGCACCCTCACCTGACGGCCCCTCACTGCTGACCCCTCACCTGGGCACCCTCACTGCTGACCTGACCCCTCACCTGCCGACCCCTCAGTCGGGTCCCCGCCCCGCTCGCGGCCCCCCGTCCCCTCCCCGTCCCGGTGGCCCCCGGCTGTCCCCAGGGCTCCCTAGGGCCCCACTGACTTGCCGCCGTCCTGGCCGCGGTGGCCGGCCTGGCCGCGGGGCCGCCCGTAGAGCACCACGGCGGCCAGCACCATGGCGGTGCCGGCCAGGAAGGGCGCGCGCGGCCGGAAGCCGAAGAGGTGCGCCGAGGCGGCCGTGGAGGCCAGGATGGACAGCGCCGTGGCGAAGCCCTTGAGGATGTTGTCGGCGTAGCGGACCACCACGGCCACCAGCAGCCCCCCGGCCGCCTGGTTGACCACCACGGCCCACACGGCGCCGTTGTAGCCGTAGAAGAAGCCGAGCGCGGCCACGGCCGGGCCCTCGGCGGCCAGCATGGCGCCCAGCCCCACGGCCGTGCCCACGGCGCCCAGCTGCACGTTGCGCAGCCAGATGGAGCCGCCCGAGCGCTTCAGCAGCCGCTCGAAGTAGACGCCGGCGAAGCCCGAGGACAGGCAGGAGGCGGCCACGGCCGCCAGCCCCACGGCGTAGCTCTGCGCCGGCCCCTCGGGGCCCGCGGACGGCGCCAGCGCCGCCGGAGGGGGCACGGCCCGCGCCTGCTCCGCCTGCACCAGCGCCACCCCCGCGAAGAGCAGCGCCAGCGACAGCCACTGCAGCCGCGACAGCGCCGTGCCCAGCAGCAGCACCGAGAACAGCGCCGTGGTCAGGATCTTCAGCTGGTACGTCACCTGCGGGGACGGGGGGGACAGGGACAGTCAGTCACCTGGGGACAGGGATGGGGACAGGGACATGGAGACAGGGAAACTGGGACAGTCAGCTGGGGACAGGAAGATGGGGACAGGGACATGGGGACAGTCAGCTGGGGACAGGGACAGTCACCTGCAGGGACGGGGATAGGGTCACCTGGAGACAGGAATATGGGGACAGTCACCTGGGGACAGAGACAGTCACCTGGGAGGACAGCGGGGACAGAGACAGGAACAGTTACCTGGGGACAGGGATGGGCACATGGGGACAGTCACTGCAGACAAGGATGGGGACATGGGGACAGGGAAATGGGGACAGTCACTTTCGGGGAGAGGGACAGTCACTGGGGGACAGAGGGGACAGGGACATGGGGACAGCTGCGACAGTCACCTGGGGGACAGTGAGAGAGGGATGGGGTCACCTGCAAGATGGGGACACAGTGACACATGGGGACAAGAACACGTGAGGAAAGGGTCACCTGTGGGGACAGGGACACCTGTGGGAACAGGGTCATGTGGGGACAGGGACAGGATCTGCAGCTGGCATGTCACCTGTGGGACAGCAGGGACAGGGTCACGTGGGGGCGGGGACACCTTGGGACAAGGGCAGGGATGATAACAGGGTCACCTGGGGGGACAGGGTCACCTGCAGGACACAGACACAGGTGTGGCAACAGGGACACGGGCACAGGGACACACATACTGTCACCAGCAGGGACAACAGGGACATGGAACCTGGGCATCGTCACAGGGATACAAGGACAGGGACACGGTAACTGTGACTGTCACAAGGACATGTGGATAAGGACACCATGACTGTCACAGGGACATGGGGACAGGGACACGGTGACTATCACAGGGACACTGTGGCTGTCACAGGGACACGGACACAGGAACAGCACCACGGTCCCCAAGGTCCCCGAGTTCATCACCTCCCCATGTGCCACCTCCCCCCATGTGCCACCCATCCCCACGTGCCACCCGTCCCCGTGTGCCAGCTGTCCCCACGTGCCACCCGTCCCTGTGTGCCAGCTGTCCCCTGTCCCACCTGGAAGGTGGCGGCGGGCAGGTTGGAGATGGCCACGTACTGCAGGTTGTTCTGCAGGGTGTAGATGAGGGAGGGGACAGCCAGGCGCAGCGTGTCCCCAAACTGTCCCACCACGGCCTCGTGCAGCGTCACCGCCGTCTGCCGGACACTGCCTGGGGGGACAGGGCTCAGCGACAGGGACGTGGCCCGGGCTGGCCACGGCCACTCCGTCCCTGTCACCCCCCACCGCGACTGCCCCACATGTCACCTTCATCCCTCCAACGTCCCCAGCGTCCCCTGTGTCTTCACCGTGTGACACCTCCCAAGTCCCCTCCCGGTCCCTCGTGTCCCCTTTGTGTCCCCATCCCCTCAGCCTGTGCTCACCTCAGAGCTGGAGGATGGCACAGCACCAGGTGTGGCCCTGTCCCCTCCGTGTCCCCAGTGTCCCCAAAATCCCCAGTGTCCCTGTGTCCCCAGTGTCCCGGTGTCGCCGTGTCCCTACCCCGGTGCTGGATGAGCAGCAGCAGCAGGCAGGCGCTGCCCTTCATGGCCTCGGCCATCACCACGGCGGTGGTGGGCAGGAAGCGCTCCCCGGGCAGCGTGCGCACGTAGCGGATGCTGAGCACCAGCGACGCGTTCTGCAGCACCAGCACGCCCAGGCTGGCGTATTTCACCCGCCACGACACTGCGGGGACACCGGGGGTCACTGAGGGATGGGGGGACACCGAGCTGAGCCCCCCTGAGCCCCCCCAGGCTGGCATACTTCACCCACCACGACACTGTGGGGACACCAGGGGTCACCGGGGGACAGGGGGAACCCAGGCTGAGCCCCCCTGAACGGGAACTCCCCCTGCCGTGACACTGCAGGGACACCGAGGGTCACTGAAGGGGAGGGGACCCCGGGCTGAGCCCCCCTGAGCCCCCCAGGATGAGAACTTCACCCGCCACGACACTGTGGGGACACTGGGGGGTCACAAGGGGACAGGGGGACCCCTGGCTGAGTCTCCCTGAGCCCCCGATCCCTCCGGGATGGGAACTCCCCCCGCCGGGACACCTGGGGGGTCACCCGGGGTCCCACGGCGGGACCCCCCCTCACACACTCCGGACCCCCCGGACCTGCCCCAAAGCCCCGCCCACCCACGACCCCTCTGCCACGACTGCCCCGCGCCCCCCACCCGTCGCGGGCCCCGCGGAGTCTCCGGAGCCTCCCCCGTCCACCACCCCCGGGGCCGCCATGGTGGCACCTGCACAGGACTTCCGCTTCCGGCCACGCCGCGGCTCCGCCCACAGAGGGGGAGCGGCTCCACCCCCACTCTGTCCAGCCAATCCCCGCGCGCATTTTCATACGGCGCCCCGCCCCTTCAGCCAGCCGGACCAATCAGAGCTCGCCTAGCACGCTTCCCTCCGCCGATTCGCGCTGTTTCCACCTCTCTCCCCGTAAGCCACGCCTCCTTAACCCACAGACCAATCGCCGCTCTCCTCACCACTCACACCCCCTTTAGGCTCCGCCCAGCACTCTCACCACCTCCCCCTCTCCAAACCCACCAATCCCCGCCCGCCTTCCTCACGCGTCGCCCAATCAGCGTCCGCTGGCGGCAGGGCCGCAGCCAATCAGCAGCGGCGGCGCTCGGCGCGCCGGTGCATTCCAAGATGGCGGCGGTGCCGGGCGGGTCGCGGCGCTGGGATCCCGCGGCGCTGGGGCTGGACCCGTCCTGGCGCCTCACGGCCTACGGCGAACTGCGCGGCTGAGGCTGCAAAGTCCCGCAGGAGACGCTGCTCAAACTCCTGGCGGGACTGGAGGGGCAGCGCCCGGGAGGAGGAGGCGGAGGGGACGGGGCGGAAGCGGAGAGCGGCGGGGCCCCGGCGCTGGGTGAGAGAGCGAAGAGCCCGAGGGCTGAGGGAGCCTGAGGGGCCTCGGGGAGCCCTCGGACGGGGGGCTTGGGGGGTCCAGGGGGAGCCAGGAGGGCTCGGGGCGGGCTCAGGGTCACGGCGGGGGCGCTGAGGAGTCTCAGGGGCTTGGGGGAGCCCTCAGAGGGGGCGCTGAGGGGCCTTGGGGGGGCCCGGATCCGCGTTCCCCTCCCCATCCGGGTCTGCCCCGAGCCTGGGTCCCCCATCCCCGGCGGGGGCTGTGCTGCCATGAGGGGCTCCGTGCCCCCCCGTGATGGGCTCGGTGCCCCCTTCGTGCCCCCCCGTGATGGGCTCGGTGCCCCCCTCGTGCCCCCCGTGATGGGCTTGGTGCCCCCACTGAGGGCTCAGTGCCCCCTCTCATGCCCCCCATGATGGGCTCAGTGCCCCCGTTGTGCCCCCCATGAGGGGCTCGGTGGCCCCCTGAGCTCTCGGTGCCCCCCTGGTGCCCCCCTGATCCCTTGGTGCCCCTCGGTGCCCGCAGGCATCGGGCTGGACTCGTGTGTGATCCCGCTGCGGCACGGGGGGCTCTCGCTGGTGCAGACCACCGACTTCTTCTACCCCATCATCGATGACCCCTACATGATGGTACCCCCAAAATACCCCCTGTAACTCAAAACCCCCACTGGGACCCCAAAATCACCCCCTGGGACACCAGAAATAGCCCCTGCACCTCAAAATCACCCCGGGACCCCAGAAATACCCTCTGCCCCCCAAAACCTCCCTGGGACTCCACAAATACCCCCTTGCACCCCAAAATCAGCCCTGGGGACCCCCCAGATCCTATCAGGAGTCTTGGGAAACTCCAAATCCCTCCAGGGGTCCCCCCAATTCCCCCTGAGCTTCTTCCTCCCTCCTGGGACCCCCAGACCTTCCTGGGCCCCTCCCCAGATCCAATTGGGGTCCCCCAGTTCTACCCTGGACCCCCCAAACCCCACCCTGAGCATTCCAAATCCTTTCAGGCCCCCCAAATTCCGTCTGCAGACCCCCAAATCCCCCCTGAGAACCCCAAATCTCCTTGTAGCTTCCCCACTCATATTCCTGGGTCCCCCAAGCCCTCCTTGCCCCGCCAAAACCCCCACAAGATCCTTTAGCCCTCTCCTGGGCCTCCCAAATCCTCCCGAGGGGCCCCAAAATCCTCTTGTGACCCCGCCAGTTCTGTGCCAGGCTCCCTAAACCCCAACTTGGGCTTCCCCAAATTCCCCCTGGAGACCCCCCACTCCCATCCTGGGCACCCCTAATCCCCCTGGGTACCCCAAATCCCACCCTGGGCACCCCAAATCCCCCCTGGGAGCCTCCAAATCCCATCCTGGGTACCCCAAATCCCATCCTGAGGACCCCAAATCCCACCCTGAGGACCTCAAACCCCCCTGGAGAGCCCCCCCAGTCCCATCCTGGGCACCCCAATTCCCCCTGGGGACCCCAAATCCCACCTGGGGGCCTCCAAGTCTCACTTGGAGACCCAAAATCCCCCCTGGGGAGCCCCTAGTCCCATCCTGGGCACGCCAAATCCCCCCTGGGCACCCCAATTCCCCCTGGGAACCTCCAAATGCCACCCTGAGGACCCTAAATCCCCCCTGGGGACCCCAAATTCCCCCAAGGACCCCCAAATCCCCCCTGGGGACCCCAAATCCACTCAGAACCCCTCAGTCCCATCCTCGCCACTCCAAATCCCCTTTGGACCCCACGGATTTGATACCAAGGCCCCCAAACTCCACCTTGAACCCCTCCTCCAATCCCACTTTGGGCCCCCCAAACACCATCAGGGTCCCCCAATCCTGTCCTGGACCCCCCCAAATCCCATTTTGAACCCCCCAGTCCTGTCCGAGACCCCCCAAGCCCCTCCCCCGTTTCAGGGCCGCATCGCCTGCGCCAACGTCCTGAGCGACCTGTACGCCATGGGGGTGACAGAGTGTGACAATGTCCTGATGCTCCTCAGCGTCAGCCAGCGCATGAGCGAGGAGGTGACAGGGACAGGGACATGGGGGGGACAGGGACACAGCCTGGGTGTGACAATGTACTGGTGCTGCTGAGTGAGGAGGTGACAGGGAGAGGGACGTGGGGGGGACTCAGAGACGTGGTGGGGGACACTGTGGGGACAGCAGACATGGGGGGACACAGGTGTGTGGCAGGGGCAGAATGGTGACAGGGACAGCCAGGGCGACAGAATGGAGGGGACACAAGGTCACTGTGCCAGGGTGACAGTGACAACAGGCAGCGCAGGGACACTGGGTCATGGGGGGCACATGGCAGTGACACTGACAGGGGAGGGGGCTCGCAGTGACTCTGGGGACAGGGGACAGGGGGGTGGCAGGGATGAGTGTGACAGGTGTGTTGAGGGGGCAGGAGTGAGTCACAGGGACACGAGGGGGTGACAGGGACACTGAGGGGGTGACAGTGACACAGGGGTGATGGGACACTGGGGGGGTGAGAGGGCACTGGGAGGTGACAGTGACACAGGGGTGATGAGACACTGGGGGGGTGAGAGGGCACTGGGAGGTGACAGTGACACAGGGGTGACAGGGCCGGTGGTGTCCCCCCAGGAGAGGGACAAGGTGATGCCGCTGATCATCCAGGGCTTCCGGGACGCAGCCGAGGACGGGGGGACGTCGGTGACGGGGGGACAGACCGTGCTCAACCCCTGGGTCATCGTGGGGGGCGTGGCCACCGCCGTCTGCCAATCCAGCGAGTTCATCATGTGAGTCATGGGCAGGATGATGGGCAGGGCCACTGCATGCTGTCAATCATTGGTGTGGTGGGAGGGGCCACCGTCACCTGTCAATCATTCGCACAGTAGGAGGGGCCACTGCCACCTGCCAATCACTGGTGTGATGGGAGGGGCCACTGTCTCCTGTCAATCATTGGTGTGGTGGGAGGGGCCACTGTCACCTGTCAATCATTGGCACAGTAGGAGGGGCCACTGCCACCTGCCAATCACTGGTGTGGGGGTGGGACCACTGTCACTTGTCAATCATTGGTGTGGGGGTGGAACCTCTGTCTCCTGTCAATCATTGCTGTGGTGGGAGGAGCCACTGTCTCCTGTCGATCATTTCTGAGTGGGAGGGGCAGGGCCTGGGGGAGGGTCAGTGCTGCCAATGAAAGCCATCATTGGAGTGGTGGGTGGGACTTGGGAGGGGGTGTGGTCATGGTCATGTGTCAATCAAGTGAGATTGCCATGAGTGGTGGGTGGGGCTTGGGGACAGGTGGTGCCATTGCTGTCAATCAGGTGGATTTGTCATTTGAGTGACAGGCAGGGCTTGGGTGGGGTTTGGGGACATGGGGCGGGGTTTGGGACATGGGGCGGGGTTTGCGGGGGGCGGGGCCTGGGGCCGGGGCGTGTCCCATGCTGACCCCAGCCCCGGACAGGCCGGACAGTGCCGTGCCTGGGGACGTGCTGGTGCTGACCAAGCCCCTGGGGACACACATGGCTGTCACTGCCCACCAGTGGCTGGACATGGTGAGTGACACCGCGGGCACCTGGGTGGGGCCACAAGGGACAGGGGACCTCAGACGGGTCTGGGACACCCAGGTGTCCCCAGGGAAGCCACAACAGGACTGAAATCCACCTGAGATGTCCCCAGTGGCACCCCAAAGCCCCCCCAGTGTCCCCAAAGGGACCCTGAGCTGTCCCCAAGGTGTCCCTGACGCTGTCCCCCCCTGTCCCCGCAGCCCGAGCGCTGGAACAAGATCAAGCTGGTGGTGACACGCGAGGAGGTGGAGCTGGCCTACCAGGAGGCCGTGGCCAGCATGGCCACCCTGAACCGCACCGGTGCGTGACCCTGGAGACAAAGGCCACCCACAGGGACCCAGGGGGTCTCCAGAGTCATCCTGGGGGGGCCATAGGCCCCTAAGTGATCGGGGGGTTCCTAAAGCCACCCCAGATGTCCCCTAGGCCACCCTAGGGTTGGCCAAAGCCACTCCAGATGTCCCCAGAGCCACCCCAGGGATCCCCTGAGCCACTGCAGGGAGCACAAAGCCACCGGGGGAGTCCCTAAAGCCACTGCAGGGTGTTCCTAGGTCAGGCTGGGTGTCCCCAAAGCCCCCCTTGAGTGTCCCCACACTGGGGGTGGCTGTGTGAGGTCACACGGTGTTCCCCCGCCACGGGGTCCATGTGAGGTGACACGGTGTTCCTCCCCGAGGTGACACTGCCTCCCCTGAGGTGACAATGTTCCCTGAGCTGGCACTGTTCCCCTGCAATAGCAGGGAGCTGTGTGAGGTGACACTGCCTCCTGAGCTGGCACTGTTCCCTGAGCTGTTCCTGCCCCCTGAGGTGGCACTGTCCCCTGTGCTCTCCTTGACACCCAGTGGTAGGGAGCTGTGTGAGTGGGCTGTGTGGGCTGTCCCTGTCCCCTGACGTGTCCCCTCCTGTCCCCAGCAGCAGGGGACTGTGTGGGCTGTCGCTGTCCCTGTCCCCTGAGGTGTCCATGTCCCTTGAGATGTCCCTGTCCCCTGAGGTGTCCCCTGTTGTCCCTGTTCCCTGAGGTGTCCCTGTCCCCTGAGGTGTCCCGGTCCCCTGAGGTGTCCATGTCCCCTGAGCTGTCCCTGTCCCCTGAGGTGTCCCCTGCTGTCCATGTCCTCTGAGGTGTCCCTGTCCCCTGAGGTGTCCCCTGCTGTCCCTGTTCTCTGAGGTGTCCTTGTCCCCTGAGCTGTCCCTGTCCCCTGAGCTGTCCATGTCCCCTGAGGTGTCCCTGTCCCCTGAGCTGTCCCTGTTCCCCTGAGCTGTCCCCGTCCCCTGAGGTGTCCCCTGCTGTCCATGTCCCCTGAGGTGTCCCTGTCCCCTGAGCTGTCCCTGTCCCCTGAGCTGTCCCTGTTCCCCTGAGCTGTCCCCGTCCCCTGAGCTGTCCCTGTCTCCTGCTCTCCCTGTCCCCTGAGCTGTCCCTGTCCCCTGAGATGTCCCCTGCTGTCCCCAGCGGCAGGGCTGATGCGAGCCTTCGGGGCGCACGCGGCCACCGACGTGACGGGTTTCGGGGTGCTGGGACACGCGCGGGCGCTGGCGGCGCAGCAGCGCCTGGACGTGGCCTTCGTCATCCACAACCTGCCCATCATCGCCTGCATGGCCGCCGTCAGCCGGGCCTGCGGGGGCCGCGGGGGGCTGCTGCAGGGCACCGCCCCTGAGACCTCGGGTACGGCCCCAAAAACGGGATTGGGGACCCCAAAAATGGCACTGGGGCACTGGGAATGGGACTGGGGGCACTGCTGCAGGGCACCGCCCCTGAGACCTCGGGTACGGCCCCAAAAACGAGACTGGGGACCCCAAAAATGGGACTGGGGGCACTGGGAATGGGAATGGGGACACTGCTGCAGGGCACCGCCCCCGAGACCTTGGGTATGGCCCCAAAAATGGGATTGGAGACCCCAAAAACGGGACTGGGGGCACTGGGAATGGCATTGGGGACACTGGGAATGGGATTGGGGGCACTGGGAATGATACTGGGGGCACTGCTGCAGGGCACCGCCCCCGAGACATCGGGTACGGCCTGGGGAACCTCAAAAACGGGATTGGGAACCCCAAAGATTGGATTTGGGACCCTAAAAATGGGAATGGGGGCACTTCTGCAGGGCACTGCTCCTGAGACATCGAGTACGGCCCCAAAATGGGGGTGGGGACCCCAAAAATGGGATTGGAGGCCCTGGGAATGGGACTGGGGGCACTGGGAATGGGAAAAAGTGCCCTGGAAATGGGATTAGGGACTCTGAAAATGGGACTGGGGAGCTCAAAAATGGGAAAAGGGGTGCTGGGGATGGGATTGGGTGCCCTGAAAATTGGATTGGGAACTCCGAATAATGGGATTGAGTACCCCGAAAATGGGGTAGGGGGCACTGGGAATGGGATTGGGGACTCTGAAAATGGAATTGAGGAGCCTGGAATGGCAACAGGGGCACTGGGAATGGGATTGGTGAGCCCGAAAATGGGATTGGGGGTTCTGGGAATGGGGTTGGGGTTTCTGGAAATGGGATTGGGGACCCTGAAATGGGAATAGGAGCACTGGGAATGGGATTGGTGAGCCCAAAAATGGGAACAGGGGCTCTGGGAGTGGGATTGGGGAGCCTGGAGTGGGACTGGGGGTTCTGGGAATGGGGTTGGGGTTTCTGGAAATGGGATTGGGGACCCTGAAATGGGAATTCCCATTTCCCAGGAGCACTGGGAGTGGGACTGGGGAGCCTGAAAATGGGAACAGGGGCTCTGGGAATGGGGTTGGGGGTTCTGGGAGTGGGATTGGGGGTTCTGGGAATGGGATTGGGGAGCCCGAAAATGGCGGGGTCGATATGAGGGGCCCCTGGGTCATCCCGGCCAGCAGGGGGCGCTGTGCAGCGTGGCACGGCCCCCAGAAATGGGAAGAAAAATGGGGAGAGGAGCACTGAAAATGGGGCTGGGGACCCCAAAAATGGGAGAAGGGGCACCAAAAAAGGGGTGGAGGACCCTGAAAATGGGAAAAGGGACCCCAAAATTGAGGGGGGTGGGAATAAAGGGAACGATGGGTCCTCCCGGCCAGCAGGGTGCAGTGTGTGCAGTGGCAGCAGCCATAAAAAAGGGGTCAGGGAGGAGTTCAAAAATGATGGGGGAACCTAAAAATGAGGCTGGGAACCCTGGAAATGGAAAAAGGGGCACAAAAAATGGGGTGGGGGACGCTGAAAATGGGGTGAGGGATTCCAAAAGTGGGAAAAGGGATGCAGAAAATTGGGGGGGGTGGATTGAGGGGGCCAGCAGGGGGCGCTGTACATGGTGGCAGGAACCTGGAAACGGGATAAAATACCCCAAAAGTGGAATTAGGGGTGCTAAAAATGGGATAAGAGACCCCCAAAATGGGATAAGGGACCCTGAAAATGGGATAAGAGACCCCAGAAATGGAATTAGGGGTGCTAAAAATGGGATAAGAGATCTGAAAAATGGGAAAGAGGATCCCAAAAACGGGATAGGGAAGCCCAGAAACAGGATAAGGGACACTAAAAGTGGGGTGGGGACCCCAAAAACGGGATAAGGAACATTAAAAACAGGATAAGGGACCCTAAAATTGTGGAGGGCTCTGATAAGGGGGGGAATGGGGGCACGTTGGATCAGCTCTGGCAGCAGGACCTTGGAAATGGGGAAAAAAAGCCCAAAAATGGGAAAGGGGAGGGGAAAAGGGGGGATGGGGGGGAAAGGATCCCAAAAACAGAGTGACCTCCAAAAATGGAGGGAGGGATCCCAAAAATGAGGGATGCCAAAAATGGGGGGAGGGATCCCAAAATTGCTGGGAAGGACCCCAAAAACGGAGGGAGGGATCCCACAATCAGAGAGTTATTCCCAACCTGGAAACGGGATAAAATACCCCAAAAGTGGAATTAGGGGTGCTAAAAATGGGATAAGAGACCCCCAAAATGGGATAAGGGACCCTGAAAATGGGATAAGAGACCCCAGAAATGGAATTAGGGGTGCTAAAAATGGGATAAGAGACCCCCAAAATGGGATAAGGGACCCTGAAAATGGGATAAGAGACCCCAGAAATGGAATTAGGGGTGCTAAAAATGGGATAAGAGATCTGAAAAATGGGAAAGAGGATCCCAAAAACGGGATAGGGAAGCCCAGAAACAGGATAAGGGACACTAAAAGTGGGGTGGGGACCCCAAAAACGGGATAAGGAACATTAAAAACAGGATAAGGGACCCTAAAATTGTGGAGGGCTCTGATAAGGGGGGGAATGGGGGCACGTTGGATCAGCTCTGGCAGCAGGACCTTGGAAATGGGGAAAAAAAGCCCAAAAATGGGAAAGGGGAGGGGAAAAGGGGGGATGGGGGGGAAAGGATCCCAAAAACAGAGTGACCTCCAAAAATGGAGGGAGGGATCCCAAAAATGAGGGATGCCAAAAATGGGGGGAGGGATCCCAAAATTGCTGGGAAGGACCCCAAAAACGGAGGGAGGGATCCCACAATCAGAGAGTTATTCCCCAAAAATGGCAGGAGAGATCCCCAAACTCAGTGTGGATGAAAATTTCCCCTCAATCCACATTTCCTGCCCGCCTGGGGTTTTGAGGTGCCCACGGTTTTGGGGTGCCCAGGTTTCAGGGTGCCCAGGGTTTTGGGGTGTTCTGGGGTGTTTTGAGGTATTTTGGAGTGGTTTTGGGTTGCCGGGGTTTTGGGGTGCCCAGAGTTCTGGGGTGTTTTGGGGATGGTTCTGGGGTGTTTTTGGGGTGTTTTTGGGGTGACACCCCCGTTCTTCCCCAGGGGGGCTGCTGGTGGTGCTGCCCCGCGCCCAGGCCGCGCGGTTCTGGGCTGGTTTTGGGATATTTTTGGGCTGGTTTTGGGGTGAGAGCCCCGTTTTCTCCCCAGGGGGGCTGCTGGTGGTGCTGCCCCGCGCCCAGGGCGCGCGGTTCTGGGCTGGTTTTGGGATATTTTTGGGCTGGTTTTGGGGTGAGAGTCCCGTTTTCTCCCTAGGGGGGCTGCTGGTGGTGCTGCCCCGCGCCCAGGCCGCGCGGTTCTGGGCTGGTTTTGGGATATTTTTGGGCTGGTTTTGGGGTGACAGCCCCGTTTTCTCCCCAGGGGGGCTGCTGGTGGTGCTGCCCCGTGCCCAGGCCGCGCGGTTCTGCGCGGAGCTGAAGGCGCCGGGGCGCGGCGCGGGGCTTCAGGCCTGGATCGTGGGCGTGGTGGAGAAGGGGCCCCGCGGCGCTCGGGTCATCGACAAACCCCGTGTGATCGAGGTGCCTCCCCGAGGGGCCCCCCAAAACCCCGAGAGCCCCGCCAGCCCCCCCCCAGAGCCACCCCGAGCCCCCTGCTAGGGAAGAGACCCCAAAAAAATCCCAAAACCCCCCGTGTGACGCCCCCCCCCAAAACCCCCCGTGGGGGTGGGGAGAGGCCGAGACCCCCCCTCAGTGAGGGGGGGGTTGGGGGGCTCCCGGTTTTGGGGGTGGTGGAAGGACCCCCCCCAGAAATGGGGCAATAAAAGAGATTTCAGATTAATTTGGGGGGCATTTATTGAGGGGGCAGGGCCCCAAAATCCCAGGGGGGCCCCAGGGGGGGTTTGGGGCTCCCCCACCTCGGACAGGATTTGGGGAGGTGGGAGGGGTGCCCAGTGGGGTTTTGTGGGGGGTCTGGGGGGGTTTTGGGGTTCCCTGGGAAGATTTTGGGGTTCCATGGGGGGGTTTTGAGTTGCCCCCCCCCAAATGATCCAATCTCTGCCGTGGATCCAGAGAGGAGATTCCCAGAGGAATATTTGGGGTTCCTAAGCCCCAAAACCCCAGGTTGAGGCTCCAGGAGGGTTTGGGGGGGTCCGGGGGGTGATTTTGGGGTGCTCCCCCCACACCTGATCCAATCCCTGCTGTAGATCCAGAGAGGGGATTCCCAGAGGATTATCTGGGGGTTTTTGGGGTCCCCCCTGGGTTGAGGCTCCTGGGAGTTTTGGGGTGACCCTGGGGGTGATTCTGGGGTGCCCTGGGGCTGTTTTTGGGGTGCTGGGGGGGTTTTGGGCCCCCCTCACTTGATGCAGTCCATGACGTGGATCTGCAGCGTGTCCATGTCCGGAGCCTTGTACTGGCACTTGGGGCAGCACAGGTCGGGCCCCTCCTCGGGGGGCGGCAGGAGCCCCGCAAAACCTGCGGGGGGACAGGGGAAGGGGCACAGTTAGGCCCTGCCCCTCCCCTCCACGGGGGATTTGGGGATCCCGGGCCCCCACTCTGTACTCACCCCCCGCTGGGGCCGGGGCTGGGGGTGGCTCCGAGTGGCGGTTGCGCATCTCCTCCAGACGGGCCCTGGGAAATGGGGGAATTTGGGGGGGGTTGGGGGGAT